TTCCACTTTTCTTCAAATATATCTAGATCTATACAAGAATTTTAAATTACACCTTGTAATCTTTTTCGAAAGTTAGTCTCATTTATTATTTTTGCTTAGACCTACAAAAGAAAAAGTTACATTTAATATACAAACGGAATACATGATATTTAATGTTCACATGTGATTATTACATGATATATTCATATATGAAGATAACATAACATATTCACATACTTTTATGTGTTATTCACATGTGAATCTTGTATACGATATAATAACACATAGGATCAAATCCACTTTTGGTGACAATATAGAGTAAGCTCTAAAGTATGTTTTATTTTCATATTTTGTCCCTTTTATACAACTTGATTTTCTTCCTTACTACATTATCAAGTATGTTGTGATTCACATGTAAATCACAAGTGAATCACATATGAATTACATGTGATACACATGTAAATTAAATGTGATTCACAAGTGAATCACATGTAATTCATATATAAATCACAAGTGAATCATATATAAAATACATGTGATTCACATGTAAATCACAAATGAATTACACGTGATTCACATATAAATTAAATGTAATTCAAATATGAATCAAATTTATTCACATGTAAATCACAAGTCAAGCACATATGAATTACATGTGATTCACATGTAAATCATATATGAATGGCATTTAATTCACATGTACATCATAAGTGAATCACATGTGATTCACATGTAATTCACATGTAAATCACAAGTGAATCACATATGACTTGCATGTGATTCACATGTAAATCACATATAAATTACATTTGAATCGCATGTGATTCATATGTGAATCACACGTGATTCATATGTTAATCACATTTCAATCACATATGTATTTTTGTGAGTGTTTTTTCATCAATTAATTTTTTTTTTAAATTTGGAAGAAATTGGTCATAATACATTGGTTGCTTTCTTTTTTATTATTTTTATTGAAAAAATGGCTTATTTAAACAACTACTGCCCAAATTGCCCTTGTTTTTATTGAAAAAAAATACTAATTTTAGTAACCAAAGTGTTATTGAAATCCGCCCCTTCATATAGGTCTGTATACATGTTTGTATACAATTATGTAAACAGATCCCAAAAGTACAATGCTTTCTTGTGACTGATTTTAACATTAAATAAAATACATATATTGCTTTGCATACATCTCGTGCATTTAGTTTAAATTGATTGATTATTGAATGCAATTTTTTTGTTCATATTTAAGTTTCTAAATAAATGGGACAGTAAAAAAACTTTTTAATCATATTATAAATGAAAATTTATTTAAATCATATAATACAATTTTACCTTATCTGTTAATTTCTGTCTAATGTGTCGCATGCAAAGACGATGAGTTGATTCTTTAAAAACGGTTTCCACAACTTTAGCCGTAGCTGAATCTTGATCAGTGACCACAACATTAGGTTGTCTACCAAAGCAATTGAGAAAGAATTTCAGCAGCCATGTATAGAATTCTGTTGTTTATTTAGCTAGGAAACCAACACCAATTGTGACACATCTTTTGTGGTTATCAATTGCAGTAAATGGAACAAATATCATATTATATCTGAAAATAATTAAAATATTCAACGTAAATACTAGAGAAATATTTTAATATGTAAATATTAAAGAAATTAAGTATTACTTACTTGTTTGTTTTGTATGTAGCATCAAATGATACGACATCATATAATTCTTTGTAGTTCCTTTTTGCTATTGCATCTGCCCAAAACAGTGCCCTTAGCTCATCCTCCTCCAACAGGTAATGAAAAGTGAAAGAAGGCACTTTTTTACGTCGAAGTGTCAAAAGATTTATCAACATATTTGCATAAGTATCTCCTACATAACAATTTAAGTCTCTTGAAAAAAAATTTGTAGTCGATTTTCTTTGCACCTTGTTTACTGTAACCACCCTTTAAACTAGTGACCATGCTATGTGCTTTTATTACTCATATATTTGATGTGCTTAAATGAGCTATAATTGTATTGTCATAATGATCCAACTTTCTTTTCGACTTTGACATGTGCACTGTACTGTTTGTGTAGAGCTCATGGTTGTGTTTTTCAACAAATGTATTAATGAAAAAGCGATCAATATCTTTTATAAATTTAAAACATATCTTTACTTGGCAAGACATCATTTAACTTTTGGTAATGAATACTGAATACGTTCTACTCATTTAAGGTAACTAAACATATATCAATACAATCATAGATACATCAAATGGATTTGAGAATGAATTATATGAAATTAAAATAAGATGATCACTTTGTAAGATCGATTTTGTTTTGAAATCAATGACGATTTTGCGTTAACAGCGACAACAATTCGATCGATATGGAATTCATATGATTATCGTCGTCGATTTGATAATTTTGAAGTCAGAAGATGATATCTTGGAAAGAAAATCATAGAGATTTTTTTTAATGAAATGATGTTATAGCCATGTAATTAAATTAATAAAAAGGTGTAAAAGACAATCTTACCCTTATGATCTTAAATCCAATCCAACAGTCTACTTTTAGTTCTTGGGTTCTCAGGAAACTATAAGTTCTTAACCGATCTCAATGATATATATATATATATATATATATATATATATATATATATATATATATATATATCATACCTAATAAAAGAATCCATTTTCTTATGTGGCAGTCTTAAGATCCTTAATTTACAAAGTAAAGTACCTATTTTGCCCTTCTACCGCTTAAAACTCAAAATTCAAATTCAAACTCTCCTAAAATTCATTGTCGTAATTTGCACATCGAGTATCTCTATATTTGTAAATCTACTAGATAAATGGATTGATTTGCATCCCTTCATATTCGTTCTTTCCATTCGTCTTCTCTCTTTTTGCTATTTAAATTACAAACACCTCCATGAGGATTGCTTGAAACTAGGAAGCAAATCATCTACTTTATTCAGTTATCGACGTCCTCTTATTTATTCTTTGTAGTTGATTATATTTCTAAGCTATTGGCAAAAATTTAAGGGCATCAGAGGAGAGGAATGAAGAAAAGATCTGATCAAACAACAATTTTGTTATAGATGTTGGCAAGTGATGTCCTTTTGTCCCATAACCATTCAATTTGATAACCATTCATCATCTTTCTCTTCAAAATGCATTACAATGTCAACCATATCTTATTCAAGGTAAAAGCTTATACCAATTTCATTCATTTAAAATCATTTAAATGTAATACTTATTTTGTGTTCAATGTTTGTGATAAGCTTTGTTACTTTTCTTTTTATATATTGATTCAAAGTCAAATTCGAAGGCACCTGATGATGCAGTTCTTGATGATGTAGTTCTGATCAACCATAGTTGTATTCACCCACAGATAGCATTGGATCTTCTGGTAATGTTTTCCAATAATGTTAAGGGTAAAATGCTTTCCGTAACATGTAAGTGTGTATTTCAGTATTTGGTATTTTCTGTAGGTTTTGATGCATGCCAAATGTTTGATGAAATGTTTGGTTTAATAAACAGGGAAATAAGTCAAATGTGTTTTGTTTTTGGCATTTTTGTTATGTAACTTCAGTTTACTTCCATATATGTATTCAAATTCTTTCAGGAATGGTTGTTAATGGGTGAGAAGTAATGGTTTAGTTTCCCAAATACACGCCTGATGCTGAAAGAATGTTACTTATCTATTCTTATGACATAAGTAGACATAAAAAGTTATGATTGTTCATCTAAAATTGTTGCTGCTATTTTGGTTTCCGTCATAAGGGGAGAATGCTTAAACCAGCAGAAAATTTGAAGGTTGGTCATGGAGCCGAATCTTATCGAAGCGATGATTACCAACAAAATTTCATGCTATCTGGAGCAAGAAAGTTTTATTTTATAACAACAAAAATCTTATTTGCTACCGGTTGAAGAGCATTTTCACGTTGCAGAAATGTCCATTGCCAATCAAGTTCCTTTTATAAAAGGATTATGTTTATGAAATAAGATTTTCATTATATGTTTGGTGTTATTTCTAATAATTTGAAATTTCAAACATAATGTTCATCATTCCACTAAATTTAGCAGAAGTTTTAGAATAGTAGAAAAGGAAATGTATAAATGCAGACATTAGGTGGTTATATCTAGATGGGGCTATATTTGTAAACTCTATTTTGTTATATTTTATGGTACATTTAGTTGGTGTTATGAAGAAAGAAATGTATAATTTCATTGACTAAATCATTGTAACTTAGAGAAAAAACTTGTATCTTTTTAAATTAGTAAAATTTTACAATTCTTTGATTAGTTATTACCATTTGAAATTAAATTGTGTTTTTCTTTTTCACTGGAAACCACGGATACTAACCTAGTCTTTGTGTGTGTGTGTGTATATATATATATATATATATCTCCCTTTCTAATAAATAAATAGATTGCATATAAAACTGCCATCTGTCAAAGTGTATACATGTCACATGTCACCATAATAAACTTCAACAATTCGTTTACATTCATTCAATTCAAATTAAAATTCAAAATATACATTTACATTCATTCAATATTCAAAATCGGATATAACCTATAACCTATAACCGAGTATAATATCACTGATTCCATAAAATCAGGTCCTAAATTTTAGTAAATCAATTTTAATTTTACAAATTTACATGCATACAACTATAGATAATACAAATACAAAGACATGTATATCATATCCATAAAAATCAGTTATTGATATTCCAATTTCCCTCTTTTAAACCCCTTTAATTCTAATATCCACTACCATATATACGATTTACCTTATTTTCCCGCTCATTCCTTGCTGTAAGTCTTGAAATTATCATATCAATTCCAAGAAATCAGCAAATCAGTTTTAATACTCCAGAATCTCACCTGCATTAAAAAACATTTGGTTTATACTTATAGATAGATATATAAAGAATATAAATATAAATAAGTCATATCCCTGAAAATCAGCAAATAATTCATGATTACTTTATATTTATACCTATAAATACCAGCAAATATCGATTGATGGTCATTGTTTTCTTTACTGTTGTATTCAAAACGTTTTCAGAGGCTAATTCTCTTCCACATCTCTGCATCTACATGGCTGCTGGTGATTTTACTCTCATACGAGATCTCGATGTCTTGAAGGACATCTTCACAATGAAGCTTCGTGTTATCAGATTATGGACACTTGACAATTACTACAACAAAAATGAACTTTTCTCTATTGAACTTATTCTAATGGGCGAAGAGGTATATTTCATATATTTTTTTTATTATTTATATATTTACTTTTTATAGTAATCTTTATTTTTTTTATTAATCGTATTTGCACCACACTTTTTCTTCACACTTTTTCTTCATTCAGGGTAACAAAATCCAAGGTTACGTCCCTAAAGCTTACATTTACAAGTTCAAAAAACTTCTAAAAGAAGGTGAAGCTTTTATCATCAAATCTCCAAATTTAGCAAAGATGCAGGAAAGAAGCTTTCAACTTACCAATCAACTACAAAAGCTTGCTTTGAATCTGGACAGTATTGTTACTCCGTGTGACAATTTTTCGGGATCAGTAAATGGCTTTGATTTTGTTGAATATCGGGCGATTATCGATGGCACTGTTCCAGATAATATGTCATTGGGTTAGTATTTTCTATTTAATAATTTTTATATTATCTTTCAAACATGCACATATAAGACATTAACAATTAACAACTAACAATTACATATCGTTTTTATAATGACAGACCAAGACTAATTCAATATTAAAAACTGACATATTTAACTATATTTTTCAATATTGCATACCAATTAATCACCAGTAAGAATGTGTCACCTGTCACCTTTTTTTTCACATGTTTGAAAATGCCCTGGTATGGCTTCTCCAAAACCATATCATTACTTTTTACTGCAATAAATAATATGGTATTTTCTAATTTACCTCTCTATTTACATATTTTAAACAAAAATATTATATTCTAACCTTCAAATAAATACTAATTTTATATGTTTATTGATATTTATGTTTATATACAGATGTTATCGGATTGGTAGTAGTAGTTGGGGAAATAGATGCTCGAAATGCAGATCGAAAAAGGCATAGGATCAGAATACAAATCCAAAATGCCAGGTATGTTTTTTATAACCTACAACTATGTTGTGTATTAACTCTTAAATTGGAATAACATTTTTTTAAATGTAATTTCCGTCTTTTTTGTTAGTGGTTTGCAATTGGATGTTAACCTATGGGGCGATTATGGTTACACATTCTTACATTATATCCAAAAGAATCCAAACAATGTCCGCATCGTCATAATCCTTCAATTTGCAAAGATTAGTGTTTGGCAATGTATAAAGTTTTTTTTATTATATTTTATATTGTAATTAATCTTAATTATTTATTACTCATTCGGTTTATATACTTTTTTATAGATCGCCGATCCGTCAATACGTACTATGATGTATCGAAGTTCATCATCAATAGTGACATTGATGACATAAATGTTTTCAAAAAAAGGTATAATACATTTTACTATGTTTATTATTAATAATAAATGACATTATATCTTATAATTTCTAAATATGATGTTAATTAACAGTTTGGATCAAGATGGTCCCCATGAAAACTCAAAGAGTACGTTCACCTATATGAAATCTAATCGAAGTTCTGAAAATGATGATTTCCTGCTTAATAATGATCTGAAAACAATTGCTGACATTTTCGAGCCACTTGAGGTAACACAAAATCTGAAAGATATTTATGGAATTATTGCATTTCGTTATTTATTTTTCAATACAACTTACATTCCATTTCTATCGTTTTATTTAACCAGGAAAAAAAATATGTTATTGTTGCGACAATTAAAGGAATTCTTCAAAATAAAGATTGGTATTACCCAGCATGTACAAACTGCAATACCAGGGCATTTTCAGACACGCCTTCTAATGAAGCCAATGTCATCGGATCATTTCAACACGCAAAATATGAATGTCGAAATCCAAAATGCACAAAACTGTAACATCAGTTATTCCAAGGTTATTGTTTTTTGGTATACTCATTTTAATAAAAATATAATTTTACATCTTATGTTGACTAATTTTGATGATTTTACAATTCCCATAGGTTCATGATTCTGGTTCGTGTTCAAGATCATACTGGAAGTATCACTCTAACAATGTTTGAACAAGACGCGAAGAAGCTTCTTAAAATTTCTGTGAAAGATTTAATTGCAAAGACAGCTCGGGTTAATTTTTTTTACATATATTCCTATTTTTTATTGTATTTATATATAATTTCCTCTGTTTATGTTTTATTTGCAGCTTGGTTTTGGTACTGGCTTATACCCCTCTGAAATTAATGTCTTGAAAGATATGAAATTAGCTTTCATAGTTTCTATCTCAAAATACAATCTTGAAAGGAACAACAATCAATATAGTATTTTGAGGAGTAGTGATGATGACAACTTGATACAATATTTGGAAAAAAACTTTGTCGTTTTAGAGGTGATTATACTTCAATTTATTCTCATTATATACAATACTTAATAAAAATTGTGGTGATCTTCTTATATGTTTTATACAGGGATGTAATTCACAATCGTTTGATGTTGGTACCAGTGATTATGAATCTCAAGATAACAAGAGTATAAAGGTGTTGTACAATTTATCTAAACTTCTAATTTTTTATCTTACACCTTCTTACCCTTTTAATAATAATATTTATTTCTTAAATTAGGATGCCATATCTCAGACTGATGATAATGTTACACTGACCAATGTTTTCAAATCGACAGCCACAAGTCCAAAAAAGAAATTTGACACATCAAAGGGTTTGAAGCGAGCTCTTGAGGACGTATTTGTTTTGGATGTGAACGACAAGTTGTCGTCATCAAAGGCTACAAAAGTTGGAGGGGAAGATGGACAGGTGAAATTTTTGAAGGTGAAGTTGGAAAAGTGATTGATTTTGATTGTGAGAAGAATAATTGGTTTTCTTAAGTTTGTTGTTGCGGGTATTAAGACATTTTCTTATTTTCCTTTAAAATTCCATGAATTTGGTTGTTTTTTGTTTAAATTTTTTGTTTCTAAACTACTTTTCGGATGGATTTATGTTATGTGGATGAATTTGATGGTTTTTCTTTTAAATTGTTTGTTTCTTAAACTAATTTTTATTTATGATGGAATGGAATCATAATGAATGGAATGGACAAGGGAATGGATCATTACATTCCTTTACATACCAAATTAATTTCAAACCAGTCCATTCCATTCTTCTTATAATACCATACTTTGGATTTATGTTATGTGGATGAATTTGATGGTTTTTGTTTTAAATTGTTTGTTTCTTAAACGAATTTTCATTTATGATGGAATGGAATCATAAATGAATGGAATGGACAAAGTAATGGATCATTACATTCCTTTATATACCAAATTAATTTCAATCCAGACCATTCCATTCGTGTTTGTAATTCCATTATATCATACTAACTCATCACTTATACAAATGAATGCTTTCAAACAAAAAAGTATAGAAATTGAAGTATTTTTACCTGTATTTGGTTATCTATAATCAATCCCTCGACTTTTTCTGTACTCCAGCTATAATGGTTTTGAAAGGATTTTCCATATGAATGATGGATTTAATTACGTAGTTGAGTATACACCATCTCCACTACTCCTTGCAAATAAATGTCCACCAAAATGTTTGCTTTAACATTCCCGAAGTTCTCCAAACAAGAAGCAGAATGACCGTAACAATAAATATCAATTCAAGATTAAAACTTCTTAGATTACAATTACATTCTAAATATAAAATCAATTAAAATTAAAATAGTCATGTTAATATGAAATACGAAATCAAATATATTACAAGGCTATATATCTTTATATTTTGGAGAAACAAATATTAACACATGAACTTACACCGTAATTAATACAAATGATTTTGTGTTGTATAAATTTTCAATAAGTAAAGTAGCCAATCATTCCAGTAGCATGTGTTCTTCTGCATTTATTTTTATTCTACAATACAACATATTAGCAAATTATCCTATAACATACATGAGATATTTCTGAAAACACAAAAACTTAAACCATGCAGAATCATGTTATGTTGCTGACAAAACTGATAAACATTACCCACCATACAATCGTATATCATTTCTATCTCAACATAATCCCTGTCATTAATAATTTTTTACTGAAAATTAATAACTTTGACATTTTTTCATAAACATAAAACTCATACCTTTATTATTTTAAATGAGAATACAAATATAATAAGAACAAATATTATATGATTAATGTTAAAATTATATCTCATTAAGATTAAAATTAAAGTGAACATGAATTTGTCAAGATACATTTTCTCGCCTGTTTGTTCTTCCCACTGATAAAAGAGGAAACATTGATCAATTATGGTATAAAAACAAATCAGTGATTTCGTTAACAAAAGCTATAGGAAATCAGTTACAAGATAAAGTCGTGATTTAATTGACAGTACAAGATAAAGTCGTGATTTAATTGACAGAAACGAAATCATCACTTTTTTAAAAATTTTAAATACCCTACATATTAACACATAAATCGATTTTAATACCTTTTTTTTATAAATTATCTTATTAGATTTTTTATTTTATTTGAAGCTGTTTCAAATCAATTTGTTTCAATCAAATCTCATTTTCAGGCTTCAATTTAGCTAACCATATATAGAAATCAGTTACTTAGCTTTTTTACTTTAAGGTTAATCACGTCTGACTTTCCATCCACTATTTGCCTTCAAGTTTACGAAAAATCCATCCTGTGAGGAGCGTCTTTATTTCGTTGCTAAGTTCCTGATTTGGGTATCATCTAGAAGAGTATAACACCCTGCAATTTAATCATGTAAGTTTTTGTTTAATTTTTCTGTCATATTAATGACAACTGCACAATTACTCATTTTTTGTTGTTGTTTATAACTATAGAAATGAATACACATATAACTTTCTATCTGAAACTATACATTCAATAGAATGACTGAATATGTAACTTTGAACGGTGTCCTACCTCGAACTGATACACTCTCATAATGGTAAGAGCAGCAACTGGGTCTTCAACAGATAAACCCTAACTTCTTCATCCGTCTTGATGACCATCGGAACTTAAAGTAATATCCTCCTTCTGTCTGCAAATTGTAATTCATTTCGAAATTTCTCCCCCAAATCATCACCGTCACCCGATTAAGATGAATCCAATGATGGATATCAACATGCACGTCTGTTGAATGGAGTTTATGGATTATTCGTAGCTTTCTTCGTGATTTATTGGGGATTATGTCGATGATTAAAGCTGTTGATCAGATGCATATATCGATTGAAGAATTTTGGTGGAGGTGGATGAGTTACGGTATGCGAGAGTTAGGGTTTAGACGAGATATTTTGATTTAGGGATGGATAATCTAAAGACTTTTCGTTTGCAATTTTGACTGATATTTTGATCTATTGCCGGCGAACATTATACCCAATAAAAAAATATTGGGACAATATTTGTAAATAAAAAAAAGATATTAATATATTTTAATGTCGTGGAAAAATCCCTTTATATGACCCATAAAACTCAAATTCTTACTGTTGAAGGACCATTTTTTTTTTCATCTATAATTTAAAACTACATTTAAAACCCTTGAATTTTCATATATTGAATAATAAAACACAATATAAATTTTGTAAATAATGACTTATTAAATTTGGTTATATATTATTCTTGTGATTGACTTATGTCAAATTAATACATGTTAAAGTTTAGATGTTTTAAATATGTTTTCATTTTATAAAAAGTGGAATATGTAAGATAACCTAAAAGGTTATAAAAATATTAGTTTATTATATATAAAAAAAACTAATTTTAAGATAAAAATACAAAATATACAATTCATGGATATCTTCATAACTATTTTTTTTAACCTAAAATAAATAAGTATAACTAACGTGATTAAGCTTTATGTATTTATAAATGGATTTACTTTTAAATTATTCATCATATTTTTGTTTTGTTTTATAACATTTCAATTAATTGTAACAATATACATAACTAAATATTTCGCATACAATTTGTATTTTAAATACAAATTCTAATTATATTTATTTTCTTTTTACAGATGATAGACTATAATATGGATTCTATTTCTGTTAAAGAACGAAAAAAGTTAAAGAAATTATATTTGGATAATAGAAGGATTAGAATATTAAACATATCAGCCGATCGTACTTCATCTACCTCACAACCTTTTTACATTACCCAGAACGGTAATTATTTTTCACGTTATCTTTTTACTTTTTTGTAGAATTAATATGTTATGTGTTAAATAATATAAACATTTCATATCTATATAATTAGCTTTAATATTAATATTTTTTTTCGTTATTAAATGTATTTCAAATTATATGTAGTTATTAATATACATGAAATCTTTTGTTACATTGCAATAATTACATGAATAACAAGTTATCTTTTTTTTTTTCCAGCTTCTTCTACCAATCATCATAAAAGTCGAACACTCATCAAATCACATACCATATTATACATTTTCAAATGCCATCAACTCAACCAATTCATCAACAATCACTCACAGTTATTCATCCAAGCAGTTTTCTCCAGCAGTGCACAACTTAAAAGGAAATTTTGCAAATGTATCTCCTATACGTATGTATATTTGACCTAACAATAGATGATGCTATTAATGCTCCCAATATTATTCAATCCACAGATGGAGGTATATCAAAACCCAATCATCATAAATACAAAGATAAGTTAGATACTTAAGTTATATGTCTTTATTGTTTAATATGTTTTTATTTTATGCATCCTATTTTATATATGTTTATCAACATATAAATCAATATTTAACATGTTGGATTATTTTTTTAACTTAGGGTTATAGATAAAAATTTAATTAAACTTTGTTTCTGTTATAGATTCCAAGAGAAAAAATTATTCCACTTTAGCTAAAGAGCAACGAAAACTAAGGAAGTTATATTTGGATAATAGAAAATTCAAAAATAAATCTACCTTATCAAACGGTCAATCTTCGCCTGCAACGCCATCTGTTAACACGAGCCAGAAAGGTAATTATTTTGTGGGCTTTCATTATTTTTATTATCCAGATATATGTTTATTTACATTACCCAATTGTGTTTAAGTTTCATTATTATTAATTAATTTTATTATTAAACAAATTTGTAATTATATGTAGTTGATGTCTTCAATCGTTGTCAACATTTAAACTCTTCAAAAAAGTTCACACATATTTCGTCTCAAAAGGAAAATGTTAGCTATGACAAGACTCCTCAACGTCATTCTACAAACTTCCAATCTCCTTCAAATCTGAATTCTAGGACTCCACTTTCCAATATCTCAAATGGTATGCATATTAACTACATTATACATTATCAATTATTTTACATTAAATTAACTACATGATTAACAACTTATTTTTCCTTTAGCAATTTGTAACAGTCAACATAATGGTCGAAAACCCTTATTAAATAATCGACGATATCCTACATCTTCTAATTCCAAGAACTCAAAAAGAAAGTTTGCACATATATCTCCTATACCTATATTTCACTTAACGACTGATGATGATATTAATGGTAGAGATATTATCCAACCAACACATGTTGGTATATCAAAAGGTAACAATCATAAACAACATTTTATATATTCTAAGTTGTTAATTATAATTTTTATTTATATTTATATTTTTTTATAATGTTATATTTAACAGGTTATTTAGATCATGGTGATCAGAATGTTGTTTGTGAACTATGCCATGCTAAATTATGGAAAAACGAATCTTCAAGAGGCAATAAAACGGGGAATAAGATCTTTTCTCTCTGTTGTGGTTATTGGAAGGTAGAACTACCTCCTTTAAAAGAACCACCGCAAAGTTACAAACAATTTTATCATGCAGTAGATTCT